TCCTCATCTTTTGTGAAGTGTGGAGCCCAGAACTGGACACAGGACTCCAGATGGGGCCTCACTAGGGCAGTGTAGAGGGGAAGGAGAACCTCCCTCGACCTGCTGGCCACACTCCTCCTAATGCATCCTAGGATCCCATTAGCTTTCTTGGCAGCCAGGGCACAGTGCTGGCTCATGGTCAACCTGTCATCCACCAGGACACCCAGGTCCCTCTCCACAGAGCTGCTCTCCAGCAGGTCAGCCCCAAGCCTGTACTGGTGCATGGGGTTGTTCCTCCCCAGGTGCAGGGCCCTGCACTTGCCCTTGTTGAACCTCATCAGGTTCCTCTCTGCCCAACTTTCCAGCCTGTCCAGGTCACGCTGAATGGCAGCACAGCCTTCTGGTGTATCCACCACTCCTCCCAGTTTGGTGTCATCAGCAAACTTCACACAGAATTCTTGCTTTGGTTGATTCCCAGTTTACAACTATGTCACCAAACTATGTATGTAATATATTCATTTCAGCATCACGTCAATATGTTCCATTCACTGTGTTCATCCCCATGGTACCAGACACTTGCACATCAGTATCTGTAGCTAACACCATAAAATGAAATTAATATCCATCAGTAGAATTCTCCCACTATTTAACAATTTCATGAAGTGTGCTTTGACGCTCTATTTTGTCTTCCCAATATCCATGTCAGCTAAGAGCTGAATACATTTCTATGTATAGATAATACTTCATAGTCAAATAAAACATCACTGTTACTTTTTTAGCATTATTTTAGTCAGTATTTGGACCTTCCTTTGTGTGGTCATTTGATATGAAATATTCCCACTAAGTTGCATGTACATAGCAAGTTTTTGTGGCTATAACAATTCCAAAATACATCGCCTGTGATCATATTTGTTACTCCAGATGAATATTCAAGGATAAGTTTTGATAAATACATAGTTTTTTTTCCTGAGTACTTGAAAATCTGTCTCTGAAATGTATTTTGGTTTGAACTGCAGAACACACGTGACAGTGTGAAGAGTAAACCAGCATTGCAGGCTCAAAAGATCCAAAGCAAGGTGAGTAACCTTTAAGGTACTGTTGTCAGATGTACTTGAAGACTTTGGAGTGAAAAACACACATGCAAATTCTGTGGTGATGCAAACTCACCTGGAATCCATGTTTTTACACGTGGCCAGAAGAATGGGATGGATTGTGTCTATGGCTCATAAATTTTGGCTTATGCACCATTAACAATCCACAAACAAATGGTCAGGGAGCAACAAGAGTGTGGCTACTCCAGGAGGGAAGAGAAACAAGGAGCCAAAGATAATAAAAGCACAGGCAGCGCCCTCACCAACCAGGCGACAGTATCTGAACATGAAGTTAGTGGTAGTGACAGGTTCTGCTGACAGCCAGTCACCTTTAGACAAAGCAAGGTGACAAGTCAGGTCTGGGGTTCACCCACGAAGTCCAGTCAGGGGACAAGGCTACAACAGCAGCCCATGTCTATGGTAGCAGGAGACAGAACTGGAGAGGCAACCAGGAGCAGAATCACCTCCCATGTAACAGGAAAGGACTGGAGCCCATACCTGAGCTTAAGTGGGGCTGCTGGACCAGTGAGCTGAGGGTGTGAGCGGAGGTCCTAGGTGAGGCTGGTCAGGGCAGTTAAGACCTGTTCATTCCCTGCGGCCTGGGCAGATAAGTTGTGTGCAGTTGCACAACATAATCATATTGCATTAACAGTGTTTTCAATTCCAACGGGCCAAGTTTTTATGTAAAATGGTAAGGACTGAGAACAGTTCACAGGAAAAAAAATAAAGAATTGTGAACCCCTGGCTTAAGAACTCAGCACAGGGACAGAAGAGTCTTGCTTCTGTAAATCAGTTTCAAAACGAGATCCTAAAGAATGCTGAGCAATCATTCCAGCTAATGGCTGTCTGATACACAATACACAATCAGTCTGGATATTTGTCTTGTTTCCTTTACTCACACACTGAGGTAATAAAATCCACTATGCTGACTGCTTCTTTGCTACTATTTCCAAGGGTCAGAGACTTGTAAATGTGGAAAATGGGCTGTTCAGCCTTAACAGTACAACACATGAAAACTCATATTGCTATTTCTGCAAAAACTGTACTACAGATAATCTTCAGTCTTATGTTATTCAATCTGTCACCTTTCATTTGTTTCTAGTTCATATGCAGAATGATTTAATGGGGAAGCTGTGCTTGTATTGTGACCTCAAATACCTTGTGAGCAGGTCTGCCTACTCTTTAAAACCATGTATTTAGGTGCAGCTCATAGCCACTTTGGAATGACTGATCCCCTGCTTGGGGACCTGGGCATCTGGCAACCACTTCTAAAGCATATCTGGCATTTATCACATACTGAGGTTATCTCTAATAACAGTATCACCTACTCAGTCTGCTTGCTTACAATTCAGCAGCATTTAAATTACAGGAAAGTAATACGATCCCAGTTCCTTCTGCACTCAAAAGAGGAGAAAAAAACAATACAGGAAAAATTTACAGGAATGAAGTTCAACGAGGCCAAGTGCAAGGTCCTGCACGTGGGGTGGGGCAATCCCAAACACAAGTACAGGCTGGGCAGAGAGTGACTTGAGAGCAGCCCTGAGGAGAAGGACTTGGGAGTACTGGTGGATGAGAAGCTCAACATGAGCCGGCAATGTGCGCTTGCAGCCCAGAAAGCCAGCCGTGTCCTGGGCTGCATCAAGAGAAGCGTGGCCAGCAGGTCGAGGGAGGTGACTCTGCCCCTTTACTCCTCTCTCCTGAGACCCCACCCAGAGTACTGCATCTGGCTCTGGAGCCCCCAACATAAGGAGGATACGGATGTGTGGGAGCGGGTGCAGAGGAGGGCCACGATGACGATCACGGGGATGGAGTACCTCTCCTATGAGGACAGGCTGAGGGAGTTGGGGTGTTCAGCCTGGAGAAGAGAAGGCTCCGGGGTGACCTTATAGCAGCCTTCCAGTACCTGAAGGGGCCGACAGGAAGGATGGAGAGGGGCTTTTCACAAGGGTGTGTAGTGATAGGACAAGGGGGAATGGCTGTAAATTTAAAGAGGCCAGATTTAGGTTAGATATTAGGAAGAAATTCTTCACCATGAGGGTGGTGAAACCTGTGTCTAGTGGAAGTTGTCCCTACCCATGGCAGGGGAGTTGGAACTAGATGATCCTTAAGGTCCCTTCCAACCCAAACCATTCTATGATTCTATGATGCTATGATTCTATACATAGTTAACCCAAACACATATGGCCTGTAAGTATGTGGACTTAGTTTAAGACTCTGTATATTCCACTTCCTTTTCTGATAATTTAAAATAGTGCGGACTAATGAGAATCAAACCATCTACCTAAATTGCATAATGAAAAATATGGATCTGTCCTCTTATGCCATTGACTAGGGCCACCTCTAACACCTGCTAGTATCTCTTCTAGGCACACAATCAGTTTACCTCATCTAAACACAGTTGCCTTAAAGGCTGGTTAGGTGATAATCAAGATGCTGCTATAACTCTCAAGCTGAGATAGGCATATTCTTTTTGCCTTTTAAAATACTTTAATGCAACTCTGTGAGCAGACTAATCCTAAAAGGAAGGTTTATCCAAGATGTATAAACAAGATTTTAATCTGTCCTCAAATTAATGAAATTACATAATATTTTAACCAACTAGTATTTTCTTTCCTCTTTTTAGAGTGCCCAAAGTGTATTAAATACATTTTTTTCATCTCAGACACTTTTATTATGTGCTGCAGCAACTCTTTCTCATTGCTGCTACAAAATATCTATTCATCCTTTCCACTGGAAGAACAAGTCAGCACAGATGCACCACCACTCTGTCTCAGTCTGCCTCTTGCTCCTATCAGGCCTTTCTCTTTACATAGTTATTGGTTTTGGTGAGCTATTGTATGTTCACTAGAAAGAGCGAATACAGGTTTTTTCCACAAGAATTACAGTGTTCTGCAGTTTTCCTGATTATTTCCATTTTCTCATCTTGAAAAAAGGGAAGAAACGTCACAACAGAAGAGAACAAGTAAAATTCAAAATTTCCTTGATATCACATGACGTAGAAGAATCCATTCAGTTATATTACTCATACCTGTCTGCATCTATTTTGGAAGTCCTAGTTACTCTGACTATATGGGGTGTTATTTTGGGAGTCCTAGTTATTTTGACTATATGGGCTGTCATATTTCTGTTTCATTGTCATACAGTCATATTTCTGTTTAATAAACTGGGAAACTGAAGGAAGGACACCATTAGGCATTAACAAGAGTAAGTATAGCGAGTCAAACAAAAGAAGGAAGATACATTGCTTTGGATTCTTTTCCTAAATTCTTCGAGTTATTATCATTTTATCAAGAGACAGACAGGTGATTAAAATGTGCATCTGTGTGGAAAACACAATAATTCTACTTAGTGAATTTCTAGGTGATAGCATGTGTTTGTTACCCTCAACCTACTTAATATCAATTACAAAGCATCCTTTTTCCAGTTAGCTTATGCATTTCAGGAGACGGCAGTATGTATTTGTGCGTACAATATTTGCAGTATGTAGCTTGAGTGATTCTGCGCATCTGTTTGTCAGCCACTCATTAAGCTGCTAATTTGGAATTTAAATACATGTTTGGATTCTGAACACTTGTTTGGATTTAGGTCAAATGTGTCATGACTAAGCTTTGTTTTCTGCAGGAATGATGCCAGTTCTTCCCCCACCAGCACTGCTCTGCCTCAGTTCAGATCAGGTCTATTATACATGTCTGCAAAGGTGATAAAATTTTTCTGAATAGCCTACTTCTGCAGGGAACATTTTTAACTGGCAGAGAGTTTGTTCCCCTCCTCCCTCAGTGTCTAGAGGTTGTCTGGGAGTTAGTCCTCCTCAGGCAATACTTTGGAGAACAGCAAAGCAGCCACAAGATCTAGTCCAAGTTACATCACAAGGCCTGAAAGTCACTGAGAACTGTACTCCACTTCTACTGTCTAGAAAATGGATATGGCAATTGGTGATGCCAGTTGTCTTGGAACTATTCTGAAGTTCTAATAGTGATTGTTTGTAAAACACTTCTGAGACCTTCCTATGAAAGGTGCTGCTTATGTTTTACTTTCATGGTTTTGGCTAACTTGCCGTCTTTGAGAGCAGCAGTTTATTTTCTTTGTCCAAAGTAGATGGAATCCCTGCACACTCTGTATATGAGCACTGAAAAAAATGAAAGGAAGTGAACATGTTCTATGGGATTTGACATGGTCCAAGAGTGATTACAAATTTATAATCCACTTGGGGGACTTTGCTGATTTCTTAAGCAGCTTGAGTGGTTCATGAACAGCATGCAATTTCATTGTGAATGTCAGATTAATGCTAGATGAATGCTTTAAGAAAAATTTATGCTGTCTTAGGTCGATTTATTTAACCCATTGAAATGTTTTTATATTCTATTTCACGGTTTACATTACTAACTCTAGTATATACATTCCCTTTCCTGACAGGCTGACAATATACCTATTAAATTAAATGCTGCAGCTATTTTAAGAGAGGGCGCCCTCTATCAGCGGAAAATGGAACAGGAGCTCAAGAGGTAAAATCACAGTTTTTTCTCAGATTAGTTTTCACGTCCCTGAGTATAGAATAATTAACCACATTAAAAATAATTACGTAAATGCCAGGTAAACTAAAATAGTGGATCTGTTATAAGGCATTGGGGAGCTATTCTATAAACATGGTTGACAAATAAAGAGAAAAGTGGACTGAAATGGAAGTCTACATTAAAGTCATTGTTTTACTGTAGATGCTATACAGTGGGACTGTGTTCTGGCTTAGCACTCTGGCTAGTGTCCACCCACAAAGTCCAATAAGGATCACTTGTTATATTTGATTCCCCAGAATAAATAATAATGCAAATACACATCTATTTCTGTGTCCATTATAAAAGATGCATATAAATTAAGCCAAATCATTTCATATACCTCCATTTTCTTCAATGGTTTGTGGTCAGCTACATGCCAAATTTGATACTTGAACTTGTTTATATGTATATAAAACTTGTTTCTATGTATACAAAAATACCTGTCGATTTCTATCACAGTAAGATATGGAGGACTACGAATGTGCTGCTCCACATGGCAACACGAGCCAGGAGCTGCGGGTGACAGAAAGGCATGCAGGGACAATGCCCTTGCTGTCCGCAGCTCAGTTCCGTAGTACCCTGGCAAGGCAGCAGAGCAGATCCAGTGACAGACAGCACATCATTGGACGGTCCAGCAACTGCCAGATGTGACAAGTCAGGGCCCAGGTCAAGCCAGGAAGCCAAGTGAACAAGGCAGCGTCAACAAGGTGCTAGGCTGGGCGCAGGCATACCTACAGCATAGCTTAGGCAAGGACAAAGGCTGTTAACAGCTGCCTAAATGTGGCTTCTGGGAAGAAACTCTACACACACAACGGGGCTTTTCACAGCTCTTCCTCACACAGCTCTTTTCACTCCCGTCTGATCCAACGTTACATAGTTGCACTGAAACAGAGCTAACTTTGAACACAAGCAACTAAATCCTAGGCAGGGGTGGGGAATAAGAGGCTGCAGGTCCTTTTGGTGCACTTAAGGCTCTAAGGCACCCTGACACAAGGATTCCTCTGACCTAAGGAATCCTTATTCAGCAGCATAGGTTTTCAGTGGCCATTAACTAGCGAGCGGGTGACTCCTGCATGGCCACTGCAAGTTGTATTCTACAACTAGAATTACAGAACATTTTCTCTAGTCATTTTAACCAAGATAAAACCTATATCATGTCATATTGATTTAGTATTATTTCTAATCCGCCCGATTTAGCAGGCTAAGCACTAAATATTGTTGGCATTTTAAGTCCTGGAATGACTGCCTAAGGTTGGATTTAATCTTTGGACCTGGCAAATTTTGGTATATGGACCAGGATTTTAGCAGTAAAATATTATGCATCACTCAGCTTCTGTTATCAGCTATGTCTGTATATTGAGGTTCTTTTATATTACATAAGATACTGTTCACACCGTCTGGCAGAATCTTGTTCCAGTCAGCAAAGGAGTGACTTAACACTATTTTATACCAAGTTTTAATCTTCAGCTGCATTTAACACACAACAGATACATACATATATGCATTAGGGAGCAGCAGTAAGGCGCAATTCACTGCAGTTTTGTGTCTCTGCCCTAATTCTTGGCTCCTTCAGTCCTCTGCTGCAGAACTTTGATAGGCCTGCCCCAGGGCTTGGCTATGCTTTTCTCTCTCAGACGAGCACAAAAAATAAGAATGTTTTGCTTAATAGCTGAATATTACTTTGCCTCATTACAGCAATATTATTTACTTGACAAAATACAAAACAGAAGTAGAGTTAAGCAGAAAAGTTTTTAGTTCTCTGTGTTAAAGTGGACAAGAAGATTGCCAAAGAGAAAAAGTATGTGGTCGTTCTACCTCTAAGCAAATTAATCCTCTGAGAAAATGTACATATCTTCAGCCTGATTTTCCTTGCTGCTTAGGAGAATCCATACGTAGCTAAAGTTTGCCCTCTCTTGGGGCTTTTTTTTACTGAAAACTTTCGGGTCCATGCCCTCATGCACTCTCTTCCAGCCTGGCTTTCCCAGGCTTTCCAGGTAGTAGGAACTACCTCTTAGGCTGGAGTTAAAGTATCGCTGTCAAATGATTTTGCGTTGACCGCCCTTTTTCCCTGCAGAAATCAAACACCTTAGATCATAACAAACTACTAAAAATGTTTCACGAACCAAGGCAGTGTTGCAGAGCCAGATCCCTAGAATAGCGTACTCTTTCTTCTCTCTTGCAGAATTGAGAATTTGCTACAAGGGGCTGGAGACCCATCTGAATTCTTGGAATGGCAAAAACAGATGCGTGGAAAAGATTTGGAAGAGCAGCTGGCTGAAATAGAGTGTAGGAGGCTTCAAGGGAAACTGAGTCATGAAGAGGCAGTTCTAGCCCATCAGAATGTAACTCAAGAAAATAAGAAAAAAGCTGAGCTAATGAGAGAAGAGGTAATACGTACAACGATGCTCAAATTTTGCTTACATTCAAGCAGTGCAAATCATACCACAGATGATACCTACTATAAGAAGGTGTAAAAGTTCTACACAGTGTCTTTACTCACTGGGGTCTGCAAACAATAGAAAAATAGTGCTATAACTTCCAGACATAGCAATCCTTACACATTAAAGTACTTTTTACAAGTGTTTGATTTTATTGATAACACTTATGAAGTAAATTGAATGTAACGGAAGGTTACAGCATTCTCACATATCTTCATGTCATTGTGCGTGTTCTTTTTGAACAGATACTGAGATACTGAGCACTGCTTACAATGAAATCACCAGTATATGACTGATTTCATTATCTTGTTAAAATGAGAGCCACAAATATGAAAGAATTTGTTTTCTTAAACCGATATAATTCAATTTACTTCATGTCATCTGACATGCCTACATCTCTCTTAGGTGGAAATTCAGGCAGAGAACCCTCTTTGGATCTGTATGTATGGAAAACTGAATACTTACGCCAAGAAGTTTTTTCACGCAGTTTCCAATCTAGCAAATCAGTTTCCCAAAAACATTGCTAGATCTTTTCATTTTTTTCCCAAACTCATGTGACATTTTTCCAGTGCCTTTCCTATAAACTAAATCAGTGATCAAGAAATGACTAATACTATAGATTTTAAATTTTTCATAGTCGCTATCACAGGTTTTTCTTTTCTTTTCGCCCAGTTTGCTCCTATGCCCTGTAGGCCAACCAGTACTTTTCTCCTGGCCACCTCTCACAGATGTCTCAGCAACTTAAGATGTGACCACAAATGTACAAGATTTTCATGAAGGCCGTGCTGCAAAAGGGAAAGCTACTTAATGAGTTGCTTCTCTGTCCTTTAAAAAAATCTTTCAACCTTCTTTGGCACTGAGTCTTCATGTCTGTTTGGACAGGCTGTAGCAAGAACTTGAAAGTGAACCCTACTATGTACAATTGAGCGTAGTCACCCACACTTATTCCAAAATTGTTGTAATTATTATATTCACCTCACTTTCAAAGCATGTATGTTTTATTTGTTAACAGAAATGTCCCAGTATGTATAGATTTGGGGATGTGCAAATCAGACTTGCTCTAACCTGACCAATTCCAGGTAGCTCCCTTCGCCTGCCAACAGATGCCAGCAGGGCACTTCATCCATATGGAGATCTCCACAAATACTGAGCACCACTTCCCCATTCACCAACAGCTGTCGTTCTGACTCTCCTCCTTCTTTTAAAACTGTAGTTTTCCATCTAAAAGAACAGTAAGGAGTGTAGTCTGGGAAAATCCAGGTTCCTGCTTCCTGTTCATTTCCTCTGACAAAGAAGGAGCACGATAGCCAAAAGTGGACTTCTGTATGTTACAGAGAGCTGATTTTGGCCCAAGAAGATCCTGAAGGCACATAACCAGCTGTGTATTAGATTGGCACTCTTCTTGGTATCCCACTATCAGATCCAGAGACAGCTTCTTTTGTCTGCTTTTAGAAACATCTGAGAGGAAATCCTGGAAAATAGCAGTATGAATGTTATGGAGGGCTGTTGTGGGTAAATAAAACATAGAGAGGGGAGCTTAAATCTGGGTCTCTATGTTGTCCCCAGCCAACATCCTTTGCTACTTTTGTGGATGATGTAATACTTAGAATCCATTTGTCCTTGCACTATTTCAATGATTTGACACACTCAAGATCACGTGTTATCAGAAATTTTATTTATCTGTTTGTCTGGGATTTAGAAAGCAGAGCTGATGCAGCAATATGCAGAGAAACGTCTACAGGAACAGCAAGAAATGAGAGAGCTGGTGGAGCAGGTCGTCGAAGGACACAAGAATGCGAAGCAAGCAAAAATAAAGCTCCAGAAATACAAACAGCAGATAGGTATTTATATATTGCCAGAAAAATGAGAGATGCTGCCAAATGTCCCCAGATTACTTTATTTTAGTGGGCCAATTTTTACAGAAAGGAAAAGGAACTTGAGGGAAAGATGCAGGCTATACATTTCCATGAATGCATGAATAAGAATTCTAGGAATAAGTTGGTAATGGGTAGATCAGAAATTCTAAGCTACTGGTCATGGGTATTACTCTTTATTTAAAAGGGATAAATACAGCACTAATGTTCTGCAACTAGTTTCCCTTACATCTAAAAGCAGCATATGTGAATGACTGTACTTTTTGGCAAATCAAGTTATGAAGCTCAGATTCTTGTGATTTATATCATTAAGAGAAGATTTGCCTAGCAACCACTGTGAAAGAATCATGGCTTAAAATTGTCTTCTCAGAGAATACAGTTCAGAGAAGACGACTGTAGCTAAGGAAAGAAAAGCCGTCTCCTAGAAAGACAGTATCACAAGGGGGGTGGATGTACCACCTCCAAGACAGACCAGCCGTTAGGATGAAGGGAAATAATGTTACTCATCCTTCATTATTCTTGAAGAAAATTCTTCAGTTAATGCATTAGCTAATGAAGTCCAGGGAGAAGGCTGTTCTGACTGGCATGGCTGTACACATTCCAGTGCAACACCAGGTTAACATCTGCTACACGAATAAGCTACCTCTAGTCATGCATACTGTGGTGAGCAGACTTTTCCCTGCCTATGTGTCTCCATACTTGATCAGTACAGGTTGAGGGGGTCGGAGGGTGTTAGCCACTCTGAAATGGGTGAGAAAAGCCTAGCAGCCTTTGCAATTCAATGATTTCTACCATATATATATCTTCAAAAACTATGAATATTTGCTATTGTCTAATATCCTTTTATTAAATAATGAAACCATATGCACTAATTAGAACCGAAATTGCAAAGCAGTAATTCAAAGTGTCTACTTTATGTATATATATAGTATGTTTATGTGTTGAATAGAATGATAGATAGTGGAGGTGGGAAGTACTCATTTGTTTCTCTGATCATTCCTCCCACCAATGCCAGACTGTTCCCTCAAGTACCTTTAGATCATTACTATTATCACTATTCACAAATGCATGTGAATTTTCTTCCAGATGGACTACTTGTTAAAATATGCAGTCAGCTAACAGAGATTAGTTCTTTTCTTTCAGTTCAGGAAGTTTGCGAAGAAAATCGAGAACTTCTTCGGCAAGCTTTAGAAGAAGAGGAGGAGAAGCTTAGGAAAAGATATGAACTAATTCAACAAATACGAGCCATTGAGTCTTTACCAAGACTCAGACACAAGTTTGTTGATTTAACTGAGGTAAGCTCAAAAGGAAAAGTTACTGTTTTTGCATAAATGCGTATTGTACATATTCACACATTCAGAGGAATTGTGTACTGCATGCAGATATATTGCAGTCTGGATGCTAGCATTACGCACAAAGTGACCCCATGACGCAAAGGTTAGATATGAAATGGAACTTTCACAGAGTTTATAAAATGAAAATTTTACCAGGAAGAATATTCTGGTGGTAAGAGAAATCTTTGTCCCCTTGAACTTCCTTTTAATTTTGCCAACAGGATCTGGGTTTCCCACTATCTTTCGAAAGGAGACTGACAAGTGATTACAGAATCACAGAATCACAGAATAGTAGGGGTTGGAAGGGACCTCTGTGGGTCATCTAGTCCAACCCCCCTGCCGAAGCAGGGTCACCTACAGCAGGCTGCACAGGATCTTGTCCAGGCGGGGCTTGAATATCTCCAGAGAAGGAGGCTCCACACCCCCCCGGGGCAGCCTGTTCCAGTGCTCCGTCACCCTCAGAGGGAAGAAGTTCCTCCTCATGTTCAGACGGAACTTCCTGTGCCTCAGTTTGTGCCCATTGCCCCTTGTCCTGTCACTGGGCACCACTGAAAAGAGCTTGGCCCCATCCTCCTGACACCCACGCTTCAGATATTTGTAGGCATTTATAAGGTCCCCTCGCAGCCTTCTCTTCTTCAGGCTGAACAAGCCCAGTTCCCTCAACCTCTCCTCGTAGTGGAGATGCTCCAGTCCCCTCACCATCCTTGTAGCCCTCCGCTGGACTCTCTCCAGTAGCTCTTCATCCTTCCTGAACTGGGGAGCCCAGAACTGAACACAGTACTCCAGATGAGGCCTCACCAGGGCAGTGCAGAGGGGAAGGAGAACCTCCCTTGTCCTGCTGGCCACACTCTTACAACATGTTCTATCCATCTTCACAAATTCAGAGATTTGTCAGTCCTGGGTAAGGACTGAATGAACACAAAGTTTGGATTCATGTACCGTTGTTCATATTGCAGTGCTGATTGCCATGGTAATTAGCAAAATTAATTTCCTCTGCTTTGAAAACTGTCACCATTCAGGTATATGAAAGAGACTGTCAAGAGAACCCAAAACCTGCTGAGCTGTTATGCATGTACTGTGTAAGTGATGTGTGTGTGGTTAAGTCTCCAGTAAAGGTGTCCCAGACTTCTTGGACTTACTATTGATGCACAAAAGGATCTGCCTGAGACTGGGCTCTGCAATGTCCACCTCTGCAGAATTTCCAGACTTAGGAAGCATCTGGAAATCTATTCTCTTACCACCACCCCAGAAGCAGAGTAGCTTAAGCTGCTCTTCCATTTTTCTTTTGCATATTGAAAGAAGAGTAACTCAGTAATATAAAATGATACTAGCAATTTTAAATATATTCCTTTGGGTTTTTTCTTTGCTTTCTTTTATGAGTATTCAAATGAAGATCACAAATTAAAAAACGTCCATGGCTAGCTGGCAGAAACCATACAGAAGGAATAGGTCTTCCTTCCATGGGGCTGTTGGAACTGTCAATACAATACTTAGGTTTTATGTCCAGCTGCTCTGAAGAGAACTGAGCCATTCATTGATTCCAAAGCTACCTACTATCCTTGCAGCCACCAGATAAATCTCCTAACTCATTTATCAGATTTTAGAATACATTTAATGTTAAAGTGTAAAATAAGTGAACAAGAATAAAATCAGCTCCCCAGATGTCCCATCCTACTTTATTCTTTTTGTTTGCCTTTATGGCTGCTGCCATCACTTCTTCCCTTTTCCAGCCAAAGAAGGCAATTCTCTTTTTTCAAACCCAGACTCACTCCGCCCATTTGTGGAGCAATACTGGTGAACCACAGTGGAAAAAGCAGGGAAAAAAGTGAAGAGTACAAAGAATTATTTTACACCACAGATACTGTAAACTGTCTGCATGAAAATCCCAAAAGGTACTCCAATCTATAGGTCTTTCACTGCTTCAGATAGAGTTGGATATTGTGTCAACCCTAAACAGAACCCTTACCATGGTCTCGCTGCACATTTGTTAGCCAGATGATTCAGTCACAAGATGTAGGCTGCAAAGACAAAACAATATAATGCAGTCAGACGTGGAAATGTCATTACTTTTTCAATCACAACAACTTCTGTAAAATGGTGCAGGCTCTCATTCAGGAAAATGAAGGTGACTGGAATGTCAGTACTTTCTTATTTTTGAACCTAGTTCATTTCATTGCCATTTACAGTGGGTGTCGACCCCTCACGTAGAGCTTCTGCTGAAATACTGTTTGTTTCTAAGTACAGAATATGGCTTTAAATACATTTTCCCATCTAGCTTATCTCAAAAGACAAAGCAGAAAAAGACAGCAGGTTTCAAGTTATATATGAAAAACACATAAAAAATTCAAGCTTATCCTATGTGTAAGGTTACTAAAGTGTAAGGTTGCTGTAAATGGAGTGGCCATGTAGGTCGCAATGCAAGTACAAGAGAATGGACCTGAATGATATGGATGGACAGTTAGATGGATAAGGAATTGGCTGGGTGGCTGAATCAAAAGACTTACAGTCAATGACTCGGTGTCCAAGTGGAAACCAGTAATGGGTGCTGTCCCTCACGGGTCTGTACTGGCACCAATACTATTTAATGTCTTCCCTAATGACATAGATGGTGGGATTAAATGCACCCTCAGCAAGTTTGCGGTTGACACCAAGTTGGGTGGTGCAGTTGATGCACTTGAGGAAAGAGACCTTGACAGGCTTGAGGAGTGTGCCCATGTAAACCTCCTGAAGTTCAGCAAAGCCAAATGCAAGGTTGTGCACATTGGTCAGGGCAATCCCCAGTACTAATACAAACTGGGGAGTGAATTGATTGAGAGCAGCCCTGTGGAGAAGTACTGGGGGGTGAATTGATTGAGAGCAACCCGGAGAAGTACTTGGGGATATTGGTAGATGAAAAATTTTATATGAACTGGCAATGCACACCTGCAGCCCAGAAAGCTGCATCAAAAGCAGCATGGCCAACAGGTTAAGGGAGGGGATTCTTCCCCTCTGCTCCGCTCTGGTGAGACCTCACCTGGAGCCCTGCATCCAGCTCTGCAGCCCTCAGCACAGGACAGACATGGATCTGAACAAAAATGATCCGAAGGCTGGAACACCTCTGCTGTGAGGAAAGGCTGAGAGAGCTGGGGCTGTTCAGCCTGGAGAAGAGAAGGCTCCAGGGAGACCTTATAGCAGCCAAGTACGGTGTATAGCAACAAGTATAAAGATGTTTTACCAAGGCCTGTAGAGACATATCAAGGGGCAATGGTTTGAAACTGAGAGAGGGTAGATTGAGATTGGACATAAGGAAGACATTTTTTTACGATGAGGGGGATGAGTCCCTGGAACAGATTGCTCAGAGCAGCTGTGGATGCTCCCTCCCTGGCAGTGTTCAAGGCCAGGCTGGATGGGGCTTTGAGCAACCTGGTCTGGTGGAAGGTGTCCCTGCCCATGGCGGGGGGTTGGAACAGGATGATATATAAGATCCCTTCCAACACAAACCATTCTATGATTCTATGATTTTATGTCTCAACTTCACAGTTCCCTTATACTCACTATTACAATCACACTCTGAGTGAATTACCACACTTGCAGTGATAGCTTGCCCTGGTTTTTTTTATTTATATAAAAGGCTTTTTCACAATTAGTGAAATTAAGTATGATTTTATGTCTCAACTTCACAGTTCCCTTATACTCACTATTACAATCACACTTTGAGTGAATTACCACACTTGCAGAGATAGCTTGCCCTGTTTATTTTTATTTATATAAAAGGCTTTTTCACAATTAGTGAAATTAAGTACTTGTCCATAAAATTCTCATTCATTCTCATTAAGTACCCAGTTCTTCCCTTGATGGCACTTAAGTTCCTTAACACCAGCATTATCTACTGCACAAGTATAGGACTTTTCATATTTTAGGAACCACTTCACTGAATATTTTTGAAATGCAGATACTCAAAATATTCAGCCTCTACCATTCTATGCTTTTAGGAAATTCTCTTTCCTAGACCTGTTTGGTGTCTGCTTGCCATGCTCAAACACTACCACTGGTATATTTGCCCTGTTGCAAAACAGTTTCCTTTCACTCCCTGTGAATACAACTTGCTGGTCATTGACTAGCTATTTGCAAATTCACTCTAAACTGAAATCTGGGAAGGAGATGAATGATCATCTACTGTTTCAGTAACCTATGGTAGTACATATTTTTCAAAGAGATGCGAAAATAAAGACTGCTTAATGTTGAACTCTTTTATCACTCTTCTGATCAGTCTTCTACTGATGGTGACCAGTGTTTAAGTAAGTCATGTTTGGTACATGAGGAGCATGGAAGCAGAAACCACTGAGCCAAAAAAACCACTGAGCCAAAACTGAAGAGCCAGATTTTAGATGAAAAAACAGTGATGATCTCTTCTTACTGACTCAACTTTTGAAGCTTTGAAAGAGAGGCTATGGGGACCAAAATAGCGGGAGAGCCTCTTGGAGGAGTCCCCAGGCATGACCACCCAAGACACCTTCTCCTTCACTGACAAGCTTGTATCATTAGATTCTCGAGACTAACTCGGTAATAATCCCTCTTAAGCACCAATGTTGTAGAAGCAGAAAGCCAAGGCTGGTTATTTGTCGTACTCTACTTTGTGGTTTATTGTCCCTGCCCGCACGCATCACCTTCCTGTTTTCTTCATCTTTCTTGGCTTTCCCCCTATTTCTTGGACCCACTGCTTTGAACAGCCAGAGAATGATCACTGGAGGATGAGTACCTGACCAGAATGCTTACACAGAATCCCAGACCAGAGAAGAGGGACTGGCCACAGGTCAATTCTTGCAGCCAAGCTGACAATCTGAGCATCTGCCTATGACAGAGCATCCTTCTCTTTTCCTGGTTTTTTTTTTCCTTCCCCTTCATGTTTTGTTTTGAGAAAAGCTTAAAATCAGAAAGGCGACTACTGTTCTGTCAACAACTTGCTCAGTATTCAGTACAAGGGCTTTTTTCTTCTGCTGAAAAGGATTGCTTGAAAAAATGAAGGCTCTTTAACTGAATAATTTCTCTCCATTAAAAGGACATTAATGAGTTTTACTTACATATGTTTATCGTTACCACTTAATTTCAGTCTGAGAAATACAATTTGGAGAAGTGGTTGTTCTTTTGGATTCCACCACCCCCTCCTTCATCCTTTCCAAACTTCGTCATTGATTTTCTGTCACTAGTTCTATGGAACTAAGTAGACTAAGGTCTCTGTGATTAAAATCCTTACCAGTGTTTCACTCTTAATGTTATACAACTGTATAGCAAGAGTCATCTTGACATCCTGCACCCGTGTATTCCATTATAACATGCCATGGTACAATATACACACCAAAGATGTGTACCAAAACTATGTTAACATAGACAAAAGAATTATTAGTTCATGTGAAATGGATTAAATTTTCCAAAGAAAGCTACATAGAAGCTTAGTGTTTGTATGGGTTTATGCAAGTTTTCCATATACGCAGATGTATATATGTGTAGACATAGGGAAAGGAAGAGTATATGGAAGAAGAAGAGCCAAAAACTTCAAGGGTTCGCAAAACTGTTTAGAAATGAGCTGTCTTCATATGCAAACTACAGTGCAGAAGTTTTTCATTACATCTCAGAATCAGACTCATTATCACTCTCATTGCAAAGTGGATTTTAAAAAGCCTTCATTAAACATTCAGGTTTGAATATTTTAACTTTGGGCATTAAGATCTGAATTTCCTGGGTACAAAGCATTGTTTAGTCCTAGTCTTTTCAGATAAAAATAGTAGATGACATAATAAATCAAATCCATACTTTGGAAATAGACAAATACAAGAAATGCATATTTTTTAGAGTAAGTCTGTCCTGGTTTTACAAACTAAAAAAAACCTGGAGTTTTTTACTTCAAAAGTCTAATTAAAACTAAAAGATAAACCAAGTAGATTTTTTTGGGACAGCAAATATGCTGTATTTATGATTAATCTACTGTATATTTCAATGTTTTTTCATGAAATGTTTTATGAGCCTGTGTTTTCACACATACGAAAGATAAGCTCTACACCCTAAAACCAGCTTGTGTATAACAGTTAGGTTAGGGCCATCCCTATATTTCTTGAAGTCAAAATATATTCATCATGATTTGGAACACAATCAAAATATTCTGGTTTTACACATTTACTCTCCCCTTGGTATTTACAGTGTTATTTAAACCTATATTTCATGTTCTCTAGACTGGTGGCCATGGTTTAATTTGTGAAATGTCAATAGTGGAACTACGCGAACGCCTCGCTCTACTCAAAGAAGCACAGAAGGCAGCAGAGGAAGAGAAGAGAGACCAGATAATTCATGAAAAACAAGCTAAGGAACAACTTCTTCTAGACAAACTCGACCAGATTTGCCTGTTCAGAGCAGAACTCGGACGAGCAGCTGCTTTAAAGTCAGTATAAAACAGCATGTGACATTTAAGACATTGCAACATTGTTAATATTGTGCTAGCCCCTTGAGGAGAATAACAAGCAGGGAGCAAAACACTGACCTTTTATTAATCAGTATGACTTTTGTCAAGGATTACACTGGGGCCAGGATTTCCTTTTTATTCTTGAAAATAATTTGCATCAAATTTAACAAATCTTTTTCATGATTTATGGCTGAAGATACTCCATAGGCTAGTGTTGACAGTATTGCCCCAGGATTCAGAGCCAATATTATACTTTGAGAAAGAAGTTCTGCCTTTCTTCTGTTCCTTTTCAGCTAATCAGAACTAATTTGATGTTACTGGAATCATTCTAGCTTGCCTCTTTAAGCGGTTCTCATTTTCATCTAAACCAATACATTATGGCTATAGTTTTCTTCCTTGAACTTCATTTGTTATGTGAAAAGGCAGGCTTTATTCTAGAAGTTAAAAATATTTTAGGAAGAAGATTTTCTGATAATAATAAGTTATAAATTAAATACAGCAGTAGATCACAGAGAAAATTCTTTGCTTACAGGCTTTCCAATCAAATTCTATATTCATTATTAATATGTGTTATTAATTATCATATTTATTATTCATTGTCATAAAGGATACACGTTGTCTTTCACCTTTTCCCTTTTGTGGGTTTCAGAGGTGAGTCCTTGTCTAGCCATATTTATTTTGCCAATAGATGTTCAGACTGACATTCTGAAGGCATGCTCTACCAGGCTAAAAACACAGGTCTTCAGATATGTCTTAGATTCACGTTTATTGCTGAGATACTGAAGGTGGCTTCTTAGAGTTCAGTTCATGTTATTGATTTATCATCCAGTTCTAAATTGCAATTACGGAAGGCAGTATTGATGTATTCATTTAACTAGTTTTCACTAGTTTCAGCTCTAATTTGGTTTGTTGATGACAGTTAACCTCCAAAGACTGGGGTTTTACTTTGTTAGTACTTAAGAAGATAGTTTAATGAATTTAATGAATCAATAACTGCAGCTGCAGTGGATTGACTGCATAGATCAGTGACCCTCTCTTCTATGGCATATATCAAGAAAAGATTTTAAGACTGAAGAACCTGAAATGGAGTTGGAGCTGGAAATATACTCTGATTGCTCAACAGTCACTGTTGTGAAAGCCTGTGGGAGCAACTCCAGCCACTGCTTTCCCCTGGAGGTGCACGCTAGGCAATAAGAACTTGTATACTACATAAAACCTGTTTCACTAGTAACTACTTCAAGAATTGTTTGTTATACTAGGTGTGCAGTCTGTGAATTTCGTATAGTGCTGGATTCCTTTAAAACAGACTCTTTGGCTTAATTCAGATCTAAAACTGTTCTGATCCTGAAATAAGCTCTGCTTGAATCAGAAGTTAACTTTGAGTCACTTCATGTCCTGACATTTGAAATGTTTTTTAGAACAGACCAACATGCCAAAGACGGTAGAATCCAAATGAAATTAAACACTTAATTTGCAAGCTTCTAGTCAGACTCATGATAAGTAATACAGTAATTTTAGTGGGGCCTTGTTTGCTCTCCAAATAAAGAAAATAAACAGTTTCTTTATAGATGTTATAAGACATTTCCTTTCATGGCTCCCAGGCAATCTATGTATGTAGCTTGGGACCATCTACTATAAAGGGCATCACCGAAGTATACCAGAAATGTTATTCTTTGGGAGTGTATTTAATGCATTTTCATCTAGAATGCAGATCTATGGTGTTATTTCTGTTAATATGGAAGTATGGCATGCTGGCCTGTTTACAAATGCTAGACACTTTGCTGCAGCTTTTATTTCTCTCTAAACAAACTATAGGCTTTTCGTTTAAAACCTAATTTACAGATCCTGAATCCTGAAATACCTATCAAGTCAGTGTGAGGGATTAATTGCTGGGTTGTATTATTGATACACTGCACAGGAGATGTAAAAAGCAAACTTTTATGTTTACGGAATTAATTCATAATTACAGGGGTAGAGTAGCAAATCTTACTAATGGTCCTCGTAAGATAGCCTTATGCATTGATATAAAATTACATGCTGTATCTTAAATTGCATTACATTGGAGGCTACTGCTAATCAGCTGAAGTATGGCAGCTAAGCTTTGCTAAACAAATGTGCTTTAGTTAGTCTCAGCTGGAGTTTAATTGGGTCCCTACCAAGCAGGTTCCTTTCAATATCATTTACAAACAGACATACATCAACACAAAAGAAGCACAGTGAGCAAGCATATAATGAGCTATATTAAACAAAATAGGAAACGCAACATGAAAAATTACAGAGACATCAGCCTTTAATAGACCGCAAGCTATGACATCCATCACAGCAGTGGCTTTGCAAGTGCTTGCAGAACACTTAAGAATAAATTCAGTAGGGATGTAGGACATCCCTTTAATTGCTAGAATTTCACACAGTCTGAAAATCAGCACTGGCATGTGAAGCAGACAAACATTTGAGTTCTCAGCTTTCAAACATGAGCACCAAAAGATTATGAGTGTTTGAATACATGCTAAAGTACGAAAGTTGTGTGCCTGTATACTTCAGGTACAATTCCCTTTCATTCCAGAGAGGCTACATTTACTACTCCAAGTAATTTAATGCACTGAGAATCAAGCAACAGATCAAACCATTTGGTGCTGAGGCTCCGTCCATCCACATCAGCTGTGGTTGGGGGGGGTTTACTCTGGGTTGAATTCAGTCTGGTCTTGGTCGTGTTCTCACCATTCACGTGGTTTAAGGCTGTCCAGAGGAAAGTCATCTCACAAAACTTCACATACTCAGTTCCTCACTCCTCTGCAAGCCTGTGTAGCGAACACCACACTATCCTTCTGTTTGTCTCACATAGATGGCAGCAGCACATCCATATCCCATCAACCACTGGCACATACCTAGGGTACAGAGAAGCCAGCCTTATTTCTGTTCTTGCTCATGTTCCTGCCTTGTTTTCTGGCTCATTTTCAAGTGACGCGACGGTGCCTGCTGCCCAAACCTCCACACCTCTCCAAGTCAGGGCAACATCCAGGTGAAGGTAGCAGCTGCTGTTCCAGGGTGGCACTCTGACCTGACACTAATCCTCCTTGACTTCCGTGTATATGAGGAAGAAGTATCAGAAAATTGTTATGAGGAACAAGAAGCACAGGCTCCCACCAACACAAAACGTTACTACATCCTGGTCTCGCACTGCAGTAACAGTGTTGTGTGTGGGGGTCTCAGCACTGGATGACAAACGGTGGCATGTTTGCAGAGGTGGCAAAGCACTCCTTTCTCTTCCTGCCACTGCCAGTGCTCAAACTCCTCCTTGACAAGGGGCTCCGACCACACACCAGTGTAACACCTTTCTCTTGGCCTGAACCGGGGAGGGATGGAAATAGCGTGAGGCCAGCCATGGCAGGAGGGAAGGCTGGTTATGAGGAGGGAGAAGAGAACAAGCAGAAGGGGTGCTTGTGGGTGGATGACCGTGACAGTCCTTGCCAAGCAGAACAAGCTCCCTAAAGCAGGTGTTCCCTGGAGTGCCCAGGTCTGTCCTAGCGGGTCAAAGGCCTTCTGGGCAAGGAGGGAAGAACAAAGCCCCATCCTCAAAAACCTGTAAGACATCCTGGCAGCACAACCCTGTGATGGAGCACGCAACTGAGGGAAGGGGCAGACAGCACATGGAGGTGGAAAGATTTAACAGGGGAATATATGCCATGCTATTCCAGTGGGTGGCAGTTGCTTCAGATCTTCAAAAACATAGCCTAGAGTAATGAAGAAAGCTGAATAATTAGCAATATAACGGACTTTGGTTTGGTGCTTCATAATATTTGTGATTTCACTATTTTCACAAATTTCATAAATACTTAGAGTTCAGTATGTGTTTGCAATATGGAAGTGAGATTTAGTTTCTCAGTCCCTACTGCTGGTAATAAATTCTGCACTAGCATTGAAACAGAAGGAGGAAATTCATCAGCAATGATGGACCAGAAATTTAAATATGTGAAGAGAGGCTGTAAAGAAGACAGAGCCAGGCTCTTCTCAGTGGTGACCAATGAGAGGAAAAGAGGTACAAGAGGAGGTTCTCTCTGAACATCAGGAAACACTTTTTTACTGTGAGGGTGACTGAACGCTGGCGCAGGTTGCCCAGGGAGGTGGTTGTGGAGTCTCCAGCCTTGGAGATGTTCAAAAGCCCTCTGGACTCGGTCCTGGGCAACTTGCTTTAGGTGGCCCTGCTCGAGCAGGTGGGGGTGGACCAGGTGACCTCCAGAAGTCCCTTACAACCTCAACCACTCTGCGATTCTGTGAATGAACTTCGATTATACAGCTTCATAATCTTTATTTCAAACAAGGAAAACACTGTTACGAATAACAATCACTTCCATACCTAAAATTAGGTGCTTAGTAACTTAATTGTTTTGGAAGAGAGTCAGATTTTGAGTGCTTAAATCCCTCACATCAGTACAAAATAGTAATCAATCTAATAGTGTAATGTTTTAATTGTCAAAATAATGACTGCATTAACAGTGAACTGTTAACAGTTAGATACGTTCATTTTCCTCACTGCAGTAACTAAGATAGTGCAGGACAGAAACCAGGCAAGGTACTGTGAAGTACACACAGCCCTAGTCACCAAAACTGAGAGTATGAGGAAATAATAAAAAAAAAAGTTCATTGCACTATAAGGCAATCCTACTTCTGCTTTTAAAAATAGATTTGTGTTTACTGCACAAGAGTCCATTTTGTAAGCTGATCTTATAAATACAGTCCTAGCTGCTCAAGTTGATATTTTGGTGCCTAGAATGGTCAAGTCGACGTTTTCACTCCATCTCCTATAAGTATTGCATGAGTTAAGAGCTGTCATACGTCCGTCTCCTGAGACATCTGATGCACAGCTGGAGTTTGAAAATGTAAATGATGAGCAAAATGTGGATTTTAGCAGGAATCCTCTGTGCAAATCTTCAGATTCCCCATTTTTTAAACACAGCTGAGAAGACCAACTCCAACTATTCCAAGTGTTTTCATTTCCTACAGGAAAACCTTTAATGATGAATTGCTACTTCTTCATTTATAGGCGGATAATCTACCGGACCTAGAGGCCATTTGTCCAGATGCTAAAACTGCAGGGCAGATAGTTAAATAATTACAAGGGATAAGTAAATAAGAAGATGCTGGACTGCCAGACTCCATGACAAGTTTGTAAAATGTGAACCAAAAAAATACTTTTATATTTTTAAAATTCATTATATTTACTAAGGAACTCATTGAGACAACACATATGGGATGTCCACTGTGGTTTATGATGCCTGGAATATTATAGAAAGACACTTACATTTTACCCATCACTGATGGAATGTGATGGGATGTGGATGTACTTCAGCACAGTGAGCCAAAATCTTTCTGCTGTTGACTGTACACATAGCTGACACAGAAAGTGAGAAAGAGAATGAAATCAGTGATAAAGAAATTTTCACTGTCTTCTTTATATATCCATATTCTGTTGAATCTTTCATTAATCCCTTACTTTTCCTCCTCTGAGTAGCTTATACGTACGCCCTACACTACTACAAACTTCCATAAGCACATTCAAGAATCTCATCTCATTCCTTAACACTAAAAGGCACTTTCTGACAGGGTCACTAAGCAAAAGCTAGAGTTTGTTAAAACATTTCAAATACATAGGGACTTCAAAAATATTACAATTTTTTTCAAAGCCTTTGGTAGGGAAATATTTTTTAATTATGGCAGACTCACAAAGGGATAGAAGACTTTTGTCTGAGACCAAAAGAAAAGAAAATTAACAAATTCTCTTTTGGACTAAAGATTTGACATCACATTTTAGGAACTAGTATGATTCTTAAAGAATGGTTTTCATTCAAGGTGCTCATTCAATACCAGTAGCGGGTAAATAAACTTAAAATTAAAATGATTTCTGCATTTTTTTTCATAAACTATCATATAATTTTCTATTGAATCTGGAGAGGATTTTTCTAACTATATACTACCCCATTCTGGCTGGCTGTTACCTCACTTCTTTGGGAAATACGTGATACGGAGTGACAGAGAACTTAGGAGCTTTTTCACTCTCGAGTCTTGAAAGTTCTCAAATGACCAACACAGAAAAACAGAATCTTCAAATTTCTTTTTTCATTCCTTCTCCTCTTTGAGTTTCTGTTATGATATGGTGTGACATCTGAAAATCTATGGGGTTGGCAGCTTTTTGGAATAGTGTAGATGACTGACACATGACTTCATGTAGAAGAGGACTGAATATTAGTCTGAGGATAAGCAACTATTTGCAATGTTAATTCAGAAGCAGCTGCTGCTGCTTCATGATGTTAAACCTCTTGCTGCATTTCCTGTAATTGTATTTACAAGAATCTGGATTTGCATGTAATGAAAGGTTTTGTTGTTTATTCCCACTGACAATATTTAATCGTCAAGTGTTTACATGAAGCCTTATTGTTATATTCTCCTATATCCCTTGGAATGCAATGCCTTGTTACAATGCAAACAGAAATAATCCATGTTCTCGATTAGATTAAATGATAGTACATAATTTTTAGATTGACAGAATAGTGTTAAAAAATCATGTCAGTGTAGCAGAGTACGTCGCAGTATTAAGGGGGATTAGGAATTGTTATCCTAACCAGACAGCAGGTCGCCAGCAGCAGAGAGGTTCAGGAAGTGTCTCAGGAAATGCGAAGCCAAGCTAAACTGTGCCCCATGTTTAGAGTTCACAGCCACATACCAAAATGTAACAGAGGTCAAATCTCCCCTTCATCCAGTTCCTGTGGATTCGGGAACTCTTGTCCAGAATGGCTGCTCTGAAGAATACCTCCTATTACAGAAAGTTTCCTATCAGCAAAGATAAGGCTAGCAAGGCAGACAAAAGCCATCTCCCCCAAGATGACAGAAGTGTTTGGGGCCCTGAACCTTGACACAGACACTGTTTAAGGCAAATTGGTGGTTTTAGCATCAGAAGGAACTTCTTCTTTCTTCCCTTTCCTCCAGCTCCTTGAGAAAAGTGTGCCTTATATTCAAACACTGTGGCGTAAGACCCAAGAGATAAGGGAAGAGTTCTGTTGTAAAACATGTCCAAGAAGCAACCTGTCTGTGAAATTACTGCTGCCACCATCAGAAAAACAGTTACAGTATCAGCTGAACAACGCCCCAGTGCACTCTGTTTTTGGTCATTTGGAGTCTTAATCTGGTTTCCAATAAAAGCAATTGTAATGTTGTACTACCACATCATAAAAGGACCTTTTACAAAATTTCCTTGCTTGCTGAAAGAAGGCATCAGATCTAACCTGGTTATATATTACATAATTATTTATATTCTTTGGTAGATCTGACACTTTAGCTCTGAATTTGGCCAGAGAATCACAGCTGCTCATGACATATTATTAATACTACAGCTTGATCATACTTAGCCAAATTCAAGGGCAATGTTGAATAAAAGAGAAAGCTGGATGTTAAGTGAATCACTGCGTAAGGTGATGTAGCCTACATGAAGAAGTTGTGAGTAAATAGTGCTAGTTGGGTGAAAGTATGCAAAACCAGTTAAAATGTAAACTCCAGAGGACAGAAAAGTAGCTACAGTAGAAGGAAAGAAAAAAAAAAGGAAGACTATCCAATAACCTCTCTCTTGTGCCTTACTTTTATGCTGCACAGAGTGCTATCAGTTTATGCTCACCTAGACCCACTAACCTTAATTAATACATCACCATCCCATAGATTCTGACTCTGGGCATTCAGATTACACAGAAAAGAATATCTATCATTTGCCAAGGAATACAGCAATTGAGGTGAATACTAATGATCTTATAAGGGAAACTCCATAGCTCTCACAGACAAAAAGCTGCAGTACTATCACAGGTTTTGCACGTGTTTTTTTTAAAGAATGTCATGTCAAGCTTGAAATACTTCAGGTACTGTCATCATGGCATCCTGTGGGAATAAATTATTCTATACTGTTTAGTAATGCTTCTATACTGTTTAGTAATGCTGGTCTGTAAACAACAAGAAGCGAGCTGTGAATACCACGTTTGGACTATATGATTTAAACCTGTTTTGAGTCTAGCTGGTTCCCAGAAGCAAGAGCAAATTCATTATTATCAAGGTAATACATGCTCAGGTGGATTTATTCTGTGGGTTGATATTATTTTACCTTCTCATTGCGTCTTTTTGATTTTGCAGGCAAGAAGAAAAGAAAAGAAAGCCCCAGTCTGGTGAAAGGCCTGTGAAAGATGAACGCATTTTAAACCTGCAGAAAAAGATTGTAGAAAAAAAGATGGAGCGTAAAAAGCAAGCTGGACTCTTAAAGATTACTCCTCAGAAAACCAGCATTGCATCAAGGAAGGTCTGGGATTTACATATGGACAAAAGCTCTGCAATAGTCCTGCTGCTCACAGACCTTTGCTCCACTGCCAGCCCTGGCAGGAGGGACCAAGGCAGATGGTGCCAGACACGACTGGCAAGAGCAATGCCCTGCTTCCTGCATAGGCATGATTGCTCCAAAGCATGGCCTTGACCTCACCTCTCATCACGCATTCTGTTACCACAGAGCAGGGCTCAGCCGTACGACACCTAGCTTCCCGCTCTTCTTGCCACACACTCTCATCCCATCAGAACAGCATCTTACCCCGTCTCTAAGTCCCGTCGTTTCCAGCTTCCTATCACACACATCCCATTACACCAAAGCGGGATGCTCACACCCTCTCTCACCCATGGCATGTTCCAGTTTTCCAGTTTATCATTCCCATGGTTTTTACCTCACCTTTTCTCAGCCTGGTCCCACAACATCAGACGGAAGCACCAATAGCCCTGTGGGCTTTGTGCTGGTTCATACTGGTTGTGTTTCCTTGGCAAGTGTCTAAAGACAAGCGGTGAGGAACTGCTGCTCCCGCTGCTGCTGCCACCTCTGCCATTGCCTCATACATGCCTAACATTTAGAAGCAGTTCCTATACCAGTAATAGCACGTGTACCATAGCATATGGAACACTGCAGTGAATAGTCATGATGGGATCACTTTTTAAAAGCTGTACTAGCCCAATGTAAAATTAAAACTAAATCTCCCAGTTGTTAAAGTAATAATAACTCTTCACCTGTTTTGCGAGAAAGTTAGTTGAAGCTGAATTCAATGAAGAGGAAAACTCTGTTTTTCAAGTGTGTGTAGTTTAAAAACAAAATAGCACAGTCTTCAGAGTATCAAAGTTTCCTGCCTTCAGAATCCCCAATTCAGGCAAGCAAAACATTTAGGTGCTTATATAGACAGCTAGGTCTATCCCTTTTAGCAAAGAAAACACTGAAGACCTATTTGAAGAAAGTTTTTCCTAAATTGGGATGGCTTTCTGAACTGAGTTTTGAGCACAGGCTCAAGCACTTTGCTGAATGGAGTCCAGAGAAAAGTAAAAGCAATAAATGCAGACTTCAAAGGAAAGCAGCCATATAATTACAAATGTGAGACATTTTTAAATAAACAAAGAGAAATTATAAATTCACAGCTAGAATTTTTGACTACCTGATGCGGGTCTGTATGAGTGCCCTAGTGTCACATGAATGAGCAAAAAAGCCAGGGTCTGAAAGTTGTTTTAGTGTTAGATTTTGTCTTTTTCTTGGGCTTAGCTTTACACAGTAAGTATCTTAAGATGTCACAGTGCTTTTTGCTCAAATGTTAAAGCATCTGTAAAAAAAAAAAAAAGAAAAAATAGAAAAAATTCAAAGTTACTATAAATTATGTAGCTGTTTTGGTGTATCTTCCATCAGTGCTGTTCAGCTCTGCATGACCCTCTCCAAATGTTATCACAGGGAGGTGACTCCGCTCCGGTCAGATATGTTCATCAGCATCTTTATTCTAGTTGAACTGCATATCGCGGAAAGTGGTGTTAGCATGACTATAGGAGAAAATTCCTCCCTTAGTTGTAACGCAGTAGGTATCTGGAATTCAGTTTGTAATTCTACCTTTTAGGCTCATCAGTAAGTAGGAAAAAAAGTGACACTAACCCCTTGTATTAAAGTTACAAGTCCAGACTGTGGCTTCAGTTACATTCGTGATGGCCCTTTAGGCCCAATGGGTTTGTGCTGATATAAGTCACAGTAACATTTGTTTGTAAATGACTATTACATTCTTAATAAAACAGAATTTATATTGCAATTTGGAAAACTAACCATAAGAAAAACTACCATTAATGAAAAAAGTGTCTTTTTGTACCATTTTAAGCAAAGAATCAGATGACAAAGTAGCAGTTTTCTATTTGTTCTGAGCTTTTTTGGGAATGCTCCCTTGTGAACCCAGCTTTTGAATCAGAAAACCAGTAGAGTCTGATAGGATTTGTGCAACTGCTCATTTACAGCTTCAAGAATAAACTGTTAGCAAAGAAAGAACGTGAAGTAGCAGCATTGGAGCAAACCATCCAGATGTAGTTTTATCTTGATTTAACATTTTGTGGAGTTTTGCAGCTGTGTTTAATTAATCTTAAATTGGGCAACCCACTCAAGTTGCCTTCCTATTCACCATGCCCAGTTTGACGTTGACAAGTTTCCCAATCACGTTAGCAAATAAACTGTGTTGCCAGCCAGCCAGCTTATCAAATAGAAGTTCAGTGTATCCTCTAAAGAGAACCACTTCAGTCTCTGCAGTCTGATCATTTGTGTGTCTTTTCTGCAGGATTCATGGCAATGGAACCATTGGAAAGAAATGGAAGAGAGTCGGGAACGACAGTTCAAGAATCTTCAACATGGCTTCATGGCCAGAGAAACAGCTCAGAAAATGGCTGCCTATGAGGCAGCAAGAAGTGGAGCCACAGCCTGTATATTGCGCTCTGAAGTACAATAAAATACATTTGGAAGAAATTCAGGCCTGCTGGAAATCTCCCAGTGTGCCTATTTACTACAAGGTTGAATATTAATCTTTATTTCACCTTTACAGCGTAATTAGAAAAACATTGGTCATAGAGGCACAATAGAATAAAAATGTGTTTATTTTTTTGTAATAGAATTTTATTTTTAAGCTATAATGATACATATTTTTCTGTTAGAATCAAAAGCTTTAAGAAACCCAAACCTTGCCATCAGAGCTCCTACAGCAGAACGGCCACTATCTGGGTAAGAATGTTGAGATCTGTATTTCTGTTATTGTATACTATGCCACGGTTTGCTACACTCATCTTCCAGAAGAATAAAAACAAGGGAAAAAAAGAAGCAACATTTGTTTATCAACGCATCTTTTCAGAAGGCACGGTCAGCCGAAGTTCCTAACATGTCTTCTTACATGACAGTAACTGTAAGAGGACCATCAGTTTCAACACTGGTTTTAGAGGATGAGGGAGAAACTGTTTAGGAGGGTTAGCGGGTGTGATAGCCTTCAGGAGGCAAAGTCTAGATTCAATGACCCAGACAGATCATCCCTCTATTGCTATTCACAGATGTGAATCCCTTCAGTCTTTACACAGTGGAAGGAGAACATAACATTGCTTGATCTCTGTAGGGAGCTGCTTCCAGAAAAAGTCAAAATTCTGGTACTCACCTAGAAGGTAATTTGCCCTCTATGACAATTTCTATACTGTGTAAAACAGCCTTTAAATCACAAGACTTATTCTAGGCACAAAGCCAAGAAGGATATAAATCTGAATTAAAATCTGCACAGCAGCAAGACTATGTAATGTATTTCTGTTTTAACTCCATGCCACTTACTAAGTGTTTAATTAGAGCTATTGCAAATATTTAAATTGAAGAAGACTGTCACTGACATTAGAGTCAGGCAGCTGCTTTTAATGCTTTCACATTACATTTCCGGCTTTTTTTCTGAAGGAAGCCTAATAGAATTCTTTTGTTGCCACCTAGCTGTGAAGATCACTTCCAGAAGCTAATAAAATGTGCTTTGTCTTTCATGCAAAGGAAATGCCGCAGTAGTCCATGAAAGTAACGCAGGACTCGTGCTCAGTAGGAAGAGTTAAGGAACATAGGAGAGTGAAAAGAAAGAATGATAGCAGAACTACAGAGAAGAGGGAACTATGATGCTATGTCTAGTAGGGGATTGTAATAGCTTAAAATGAGCAGCCCTTGATGGCAGGGAGTTTATCTTCCTTTGTGGCTGTTCAGCATTCTGTTGCATTGTATTCCAGAACAACAAAGCCAGGCGGTGACTGTGACACCTCGGTTTTCCAGAGGCTAGCAATTAACAGGGCTGACAGTCATCATCTGGGATATTGCATAGCTGAATATTTTCTCTTAAACTTTTTGATGTTTTGAGAATTTTTTTTTTAATCATTATTAAGTAAACAGATAGGCAGGTGTATTTAGGAAGGTAATATGGAAATTTGAAAAACCCATCATATGGCATGTTTCTTCCCCTGTGATGTTGGACCCAATTTTCAAAATTCTTACTGAATTGCAATCAAGCTGATTCATAACTATTGTCTTCTGCATATTTTCCCTGCTCTCAAATGAAAGGACTAAGGAACAGAGGAATCTCAGTAATCCAGCTGTGGCATTTTTACCTTCAGAACTCACAAATAGTCCTACAGCTACTTTAGGATCTGATGCACAGTCATCTTCAGAATCAATGTTTTGAGGAACGAGTCGAGAGCTTACGGGTAAGAATTAAGGGACAGGCTCATATGGGTGACACTGTTGAGGGTGCTTACTACAGGCCTCCTGATCAGGAAGAGGAAGTCGATGAGGCCTTCTACACACAGCTGAAAGAAGCCTCACAATCACAGGCCCTGGTTCTCATTGAGGACTTCAACCACCCTGATATCTGCTAGGAAGACAACACAGCCAGGCACACACAGTCCAGGAGGTTCCTGCAGAGCATTGATGACAACTTTTTGACACAGGTGGTGGAGGAGCCAACGAGAAGAGATGTGCTGCTGGACCTTGTGCTGACAAACGAAGAAGGACTGGGTGATGATGTGAAGGTTGGAGGCAGCCTTGGCTGCAGTGATTACGAGATGGTGCAGTTCAGCATCCTGCATGGAGAAAGCAGGCCAATAAGTAGGATCACAACCTTGAACTTCAGGAGAGCTAACTTTGGCCTCTTCAAGGACCTACTTGGAGGAGTCCCATGGGTTAAGGCTCTAGAGGGTAGCGGGCTCCAAGAGAGCTGGTCGCTATTTAAGCATCACTTCCTCCATACTCAAGATCGGTGCATCCCCATGAGTAAGAAATCAAGCAAAGGAGGCAGGAGACCTGCATGGATGAGCAAGCAGGTTCTAGCGAAACTCAAATGGAAGAAAAAAGTCTGCAGAATGCGGAAAGAGGGACAGGCCACTTGGGAGGAATATAGGAACATTGTCAGAGTATGCAAGGATGCAACAAGGAAGGCTAAGGTCCACCTGGAATTAAATCTGGCAAGGGATATCAAAGACAACAAGAAGGGCTTCTTCAACTACATCATCAGTAAGCAGAAGACTAGGAAAAATGCGGGGCCGCTGCTGAATGAGGTGGGTGCCCTGGTGACAGAATATACAGAGAAGGCAGAGTTACTGAATGCCTTCTTTGCTTCAGTCTCCACTGCTAAGGCCAACCCTCAGGAATCCCAGTCCTGGGAGGTAAGAGAGAAGCCTGGAGAAAGGAAGACCTTCCCTGGGTCGAGAAGGATCAGGTTAGAGATAACTTAAGCAAACTGGACACCCACAGATCATAGAATCATAGAATGGTTTGGATGATGGTTGGATCTAGTTGATCTAGTTCCAACCCCTCTGCATGGGATGCACCCACAAGTGCTGAGGGATCTCTTTTCACAAGACTATTAACTCATCATCATCTTTGAAAGGCTGTGGAGAACAGGTGAAGTGCCCTGAGGACTAGAAGAAAGCGAATGTCACTCCAGTCTTCAAAAAGGGCAAGAAGGAGGACCCAGGAAACCACAGGCTGGTCAGCCTCACCTCCATCCCTGGAAAGGTGATGGAGCAGCTCATTCTGGATATCATCACTAAGGAGGTGGAAAAAAAGAAGGTTATCAGGAGTAGTCAGCATGGATTCACCAAGGGGAAATCATGCTTGACCAATCTGATAACCTTCTGTGACAGCATGACTGGCTGGGTAGATGACGGGAGAACAGTGGATGTTGTCTACCTTGACTTCAGCAAGGTTTCTGACACCGTTTCCCATAACATCCCCCTAGGGAAGCTCAGGAAGTGTGTGCTAGATGAATGGACAGTGAGGTGGATTGAGAACTGACTGAAGGGCAGAGCTCAGAGGGTTGTCATCAGCAGCGCTGAGTCTAGTTGGAGGCCGGTAACTAGTGGTGACCCCCAGGGGTCAGTACTGGGCCCAGTCTTGTTTAACTTACTCATCAATGACAGGGATGAAGAGTTAGAATGTACCCTCAGCAAACAATCCCCCCACAAAACTTGGAGGAGGGGCCGAGAAACCACAAGAGAGCAGCTCTGTGGAGAGGGACCTGGGTGTGCTGGTGGATGACAGGTTAACCATGAGCCAACAGTCAGTGTACCCTGGTTGCCAAGAAAGCTAATGGCATCCTGGGGTGCATCAAGAGGAGTGTGGCCAGCAGGTCGAGGGAGGTTCTCCTCTCTCTCTACTTTGCCCTGGTGAGGCCCCATCTGGAGTACTCTGTCCAGTTCTGCGCTCTCCAGTTCAAGAAAGATGAGGAGCTACTAGAGAGAGTCCAGCGGAGGGTTATGAAGATGATTAGGGGAGCAGAGCATCTCTCCTATGAGGAAAGGCTGAGGGAGCTGGGCTTGTTCAGCCTGAAGAAGAGAAGGCTGCGAGGGGACCTTATAAATGCTTATAAATATCTCAAGGGTGGGTGTCAAGAGGATGGGGCCAGACTCTTTTCAGTGGTGCCCAGCGACAGGACAAGGGGAAACGAGCACAAACTGAAGCAGAGGAAGTTCCATCCAAACATGAGGAAGAACTTCTTCCCTCTGAGGGTGACAGAGCACTGGGGCAGGCTGCCCAGAGGGGTTGTCGAGTCTCCTTCTCCAGACATATTCAAAACCTGCCTGGCTGAGGCCCTATGCAACCTGTCTAGGTGAGCCTTGGTTAGCAGGGGGGTTGGACTAGATGATCCCCAGAGGTCCCTTCCAACCCCTACCATTCTATGGTTCAGCGATTCCGTGATTCTATGCATGTGAGGCTTTGGGGAAAAATATCAATATATTCTATATTTTTGTATCAATACAGCCTATTGATTTTTCAGTGATGGCAGGTCTTGCAACAGAATACACAGAATAACACTAAAAATACCACTCTCCTCCTGACAAACGTGAATAAATATGTTGGAGGCAGCAGACCCTCTCCAGAACCACTCTGCCCCCGGCCACTAGAGCACCTTATCTAATGCTCCTGTTCTAGCAGTGTGCTACACAGAAACCTGAGGCGATCCAGTGCAGAGCCAGCACGGGTCTGGTAGGGCTTGTCAGCGTTGTATTGCAAAAGCAGCTGTGATGCGACTGGAGCCAGGTGAGCTTTGAAGCAATATAGCTGCACTCACGCTGCTGCCTCAGCTAGTGGCCATGGCGCAGACCGTCCGCAGCCTGCTTAATCCACGCGCAGGTAGCTGAGAGTCAGCAATGCCTCTGCACTCCTCGAGCTTCACGGAAACACAGGTGGATGAATAATTCATGATTCACTCATTTGCATGTGTGTTACACTATTTGCAGCCAAGATGATGAGGGTCAGTGAACAAGGCCGACTCTTAAATGATCCTACAAAACAGACTTACAAAATCAGAGGTTTCACCTGTCTGATCGTAGTGACAGACTCAGGAAGAAACCCTTTCAGCTGCACATTCCAGAGGTTTCTTATTCCCGTGTAAATGGCCAGCCCACAAAAGCCTTCTCATGCAGCTACCAGGGTGTAATGAGGTGTAACGAGGCCCAGGTGTAACGAGGCCCAGGTTACCTTCGGAAGGCCAAGGGGCTTCAGCCCTGCGATGAGCACGGGACCCAGGGCCCCCTGACCTTTCCTGTACCGCAGTCGCTGTGGGGTGGCACTTGGCTCCCTCCTCCAGAGCAGCCCGGTGAGGAGGCAAGGCCAGCGCCCAGTGGCTGCCGGGCCGGGTAATTGCCCTGCCCAGACAGCACAGTTCATT